ACATCCCTATTGCTGCATTACCATGAAGTCTAATTAGACTCCTGGTGTGCTTGTGTAACAACAGAAAGCATTGCCTGCTTCTGCATTGTTTTTGTGATTGTGGAAACACAGTAAGGTGCTTTTCCGTCTTGGGGGCTCACCTTCCCGCACTCTAGTGGCCACTGTCCAGTTGTGATCCATAGCATCTCCATGAGTTCATTGTCAGAAGTGAAGTACCAGGTTTAACATCAGGGAATGTGGGTCATGGCTGTATCCTTTCCTCATCCTGATTCAGTGTGTATGCTAAACAGAGCGTCTTAGAAGACAAACAGGAGGCATCGGGATTGAAGGGTTCATGAAAAACTTACTATAAACAGATGACCCAACTTTGCTTGTGGAAGTGCAGAGGACTTCAAATACTTACTACTGAAGCCTTCAGTATGAATGACCAGTCAGTGTGAAGAAAACCAAGATCTTCTCAACTGGACCAAGAAGCAACATCAGGATAAAAGGAGAAAAGATTTCGCTTTACTTGGATCCGTGGAAGCTACAGATTCCAAACTCACTGTCAGAGAATTGATAGGACTCCTAATGACCCTATAGGATGGGGTAGAACTGCCCCTGTGAGTTTCCAACACTGTACTCTTTACAGAAGTAGTAGAAAGCTCTTTCTCCTACCGAGCGGCTGGCAGTGTTGAATGACTGACCTTATGGTTAGCAGTGCAATGCATAACTACTATGCCAGCAGGGCTCCTCCCAGGGAAGCAGCAGCTCAGAAATCAAACAATGTATTACACTGAGCAAATCTGCTGCATAAGACCACCTTAAAGTGTGGAAGAGCCCAGGTAGCACCTTGAAGACTAAGGCATGCCTGACCCAGACCTTGACATTTTCAATGGTCTCATATGCATGTGAAAACAGGCCGGAAAAAAGAGGAGCTGATACTAAGGGCTTAAGTTAAGGTGACCAGATTTTAACATTGGTAAAGCGGGCCACCATTGATAAAACTCATATCCTGGCGAAATAGCCACATGGCAGC